TGAATGCCATGTAACCATACTGCTACTGCTGAGCCAGAGGTTAGTGTTCGCGATAAATAGACCAGCATCTTCAGCTGCTCACAGGGCGACTACACCGTATCGGATATTTTTCTGACAATAAGTGGCGTTCGCCAGAATTGCCCAATTGCCCTAATTTTGTTCAACTTCGTCGTGGACTCCATCATGTGTTCCATCATATGTTCCCTTGTGGAATCTCACGATGCAGGCGTTGAGGTGTCGCCTAGTGAGAAGCTAGTTGGTTTTGATTACGTCGAAGATATTTTCTTACTTTTTAACGGCGCAGTCAGCCCTGAACATCTTCTCAAGAGTGGTTCCATCAGTCGCCATTCGATTCGTACCCTTAAAGGGGAAAATTGCTGCTGCAAGACCACCAACCACTTGGTGACCCCATGAGCTTTGATAGCGAGGAATTGGAGGTAGTTGATCGACTCACTTAACTTGGCGGCTGAATCAGCAACAATGGATGCAAAAGCACTGGGGTCAGTTCACGTATTGCAAGAGCCAGAATTGCCTTCTTGAATCCGTGGTATATTGGCCGTAAGAAAGGCGCCTCTCTTAGCACAAAAGGCTGTGTTTACAAAGCTACAATGAGGGCCGTCTTACTCTATGACAGTGAGACTTGGCCTCTTCGATGTAAGAAGCTGAGGCATCTTCAAGTCTTTGATCACTGCTGTCTGCGAAGCACTGCCGGTGTCGGATGGTAGCAGCGTGTTTGCAACGATGATGTGCGTAGGCGAGTACTAGGCAGTGATAATAGAGCTAGTTCCTTAGTAAAACAGATGGCACTGAATAAGTTGCGTTGATTCGGAACATACTACGTATGCCCGCTCAGTGCTCACCGATGGTCTTGTTTTGTTTGCCAGATGTAGGGTGGCGCAAGGCTCGAGGTGGAGAGAAGATAACTAAGCAGCGAGAAATGAAGTCACTGAAGACCAAACTCCGTGCCGTCTGTCAGACTCGCCTTCCAGGTTGGATCGCTGTATTTGGCTAGAGAATTTACGAGATATGGATAGCAGTCAACACAAGTGATGCGTCTGCTGTCGTCTTCTAGCTGGAATGCCTAATAAAAGTGTGTTTGGTGCTGAATTATCTGCGAGGTAATGGATGAGTATGAGGCATGTTAGTGATAGCCAAAAAGAATCTGTCTCGCTGATGCCGCCTGATCTTTGCACTATAGAGAGCTGTTCGTGAGAGTTTGTTGTTGACAAGGTCCAAGTGCCTTGATCCTGCAATTTTGCCTTCGAGTCAGTGGACCGACGTGCCCCGTGGGAAAGACTGCTAAGGAAGAATGTGCCCGAGAAATGTGTAAATATTATGCGACCGCTTTACGCGCGTAGCTCGGGCAGAGTGAGGGCTTACGCCAAGCTGCCGCTTAGAAGAATGTGATTACTTGGCGACACAATAGCCGGCTGTTAGCTCTCCGGAACGAAGTCTATCCGTTACTGGTGACGCAGCTGGCGCGCCTCTGTTTCATGTGTTTCTTTTCTGTTGTATTGCGGCAAAATAGCTATGCTTTCCACCTGCAGCTAGCGTTTACAATGAATGAATGAATGATCCTGCATTTGTGCTTAGAGCAACAATGTTTTCCGCTAAGTACCACTTCTCTACTTTTGTTATTTTTCATTTATTAACTCAACGTGGTTATTCGGCAGCGAACCATCAATCCACTTGGCTGATGCAATGCTGATGACGATGATGATAGCCGCCTAGATGGATCTCATCATCGGATATACTTAGAAATTAAGCGTTCAGATGATCAGTCAGCATCACAGTACCCTTAGTTCTTCTGTGACGGAGTTCGTTCTGTTGACGATAGTTGTAATCTTCCACAAGGTTAGCGCAACCGTTTGTAAGGGCGTAGGTAGCGATGACATGAAGGCAAGAATTCTCTCGGCACAACGTTGAAATTTTGAACGAGACAGCCAAGCTGATGATGCAAAGTCGCCTAATGAATGGGATTCAGTCGATTAGATTAGCTTCAGCCGAGTGGACAGAGCAATACCTATACCTGTTAAACCGCCAGTCGAAGCTACGTTATCCCCCGGTAAGCGTAATGAGAAATTGCAACCAGTATCATATAAAGAGGATATGGGAAGTGAAAACAGAGCTTGAGTCTTACAGACGGGTTCTCGATGAGTAATAGTGTCGATCTACAGGGTCTCTAATGTTCGGGCACGTGCGCCTGCTGGCCGATCTATAATAAAGTGAGCAGGTTGAGACATCGCAGTGTTAGCAAGGATCAAGGGATCCAAATAAAACCGGATGAGCTGCTGTTTCCCGCTTAGTCGGACATGGATGTGTCGACTGGACCAGTGTAAAGCCGTGCGATTATTTATTAGCCGAGATTAGAAGACGAACACCTATCAGAACAAGATGGCAGATCAAACATTTTGGGCTAAAATGGGCCATAAAAGTGAAGTTGAAAAAAGAGTAAGCGGAAGGATAATATAGGAAGATCTGAGCAGCAAGAATCTCATCCTTCTCCACTCTTCTCAATACAGTAAACAGGACGTCGTTGGTTATCCTACGCGACGGAAAAGGCAACAAAAGTAGTTTGAGGAAGTTGCATTGCATTGTACCGGCAGGATATTATCAGGTAGCATGGGTCTACACCGGAAAATGACTATGGTTTCAAAACAAAGCCAATGAAAGTGTGCAATTGAACTTTAAGGCCTAATTAAGGTCGGCCGTGTGCAAAATACAACATTGATATCAACAACACGTCACCTGTGGCTAACCATATCAACCAACCAAAAACTAAACTGAAAAACAGGGATTACATTAATTGATTCTGACCTTAGAGCGTGATGTTATTTCGATCGTAGACAAATAAAGAAGGACACGAGAACAAACAAAAGCAGCCTCAGATGCACAGACAGGAGGCAGATGTTGGAGCCCAAGACAGCTTGCGAATTGGAAACAGGAAGAAGTACGTGATGAGAACAAGTCCATAAAACCCATTAATATCAGTGTAGGGCCGTTGGCTTGCAACCTCAGTGCCTGGGTTTGATCACCGTGCAGTAAGTTTGAAAATGGACAAGCTCTCGCAGGTTCTTAATTGCAACGGCTATTTATTCCACGGATGGGCGTACCTCACTAAGAAGAAGTTGAGAGGATATTTTTCTTGGTCTTCTATAAGGATAGTAGACGTTTCCCATTATGAGTGGAATAGGTTAAGCCAGTATGTAATGCGACGGTCGTAGTGGTTGAGCAAACTTGCATTATACTGTAAAGAAAAGTGAAATGGATTTTCAGCCCTCGAAGCTAGGATGGATTGAGCTGGAGGTGAGAACATCGCTCCGCATAGCTAAGCGATGATGAGCATTTTGGTAAATGAGCGCTGGACGTTTTCCAAAGCAATTCTATCGGTTTTACGTAAGTGACTAGGTATGATAGTGCAAGACTCTAGAGTGGGTCCAAAAATGAGTTTGGATGATTCAAGTCGTGTTTGGGATAGTGAAAATGACGTAGCTTGTCAGTTGATTGTTTTTCGCTACTTGATGCTGAATGTGTCCGGACAAGTTGAAGCTGCTCGAATATGGAATTCCTAGGTTTCGAACGGAATAAGCAGTTGGGATGGGGGTTCCAGTGAGAGTGATGGATCCTGCTGGTGTACTGCATCTGTGGCAGAGTATCTGAGATTCATCTGAAGAAAACATCATTGACTTGCTTTCACTCCAATTGTTTAGAGATGATAAGTCCTCGCATATACATATTTTTAATCACAATTCCAGACGGTCAGATAGAAATGAGTAAACTAGTTTGATGTCATCTGCAAACACAAATAGACGCACGTGCCTAGAGTGTAATCACATATATCGTTTAGGTAAATGAGGAAAAGTAATGGGCCCAATACACTACCATGGACAACACCGCTCGTGACATTTCTGGAAGTAGAACAATGTTGACCAATCTATACTCTTTGTGTTCGGCCGTTATGTTATGATTCGAACCAGCTCAAGAGAGGGTTGCTGATTCTATAGGACTCCAGCACAGCCAACAATGGTTTGTGCGGTACACAGTCAAAGGATTTTGCATATCCAGAAGGATGATGATGAAGGCCATGCCATCATCTAAGATTGCTGTAACATGGTCGAGGATTTGTAATTGGCACGTGACACAAGAACGTTCTGTTGTGAACTCATGTTGGAAACTGTTGAGTAGGTTTTGTCGTGTCAGGAACTGTGTTATCGGAGTCTTGGCGATTCTCTCTAAAGCCTTAGAGGGGGCAGAGTTATGGTTTATCGATCGATAAATTGACATTATATCTAGTGGACCACCTGTGTTTCGGCATAATTATGAAATTTTACCACTATGACGGGAAGCAACTACTGTTTAGTGAGTGAAAAAATTTTAAACATGAGGAGAAATATATTTCTACCAACTTGTAGCCGCAGGCGAAATACCACCAGGTCCCGGTTGGAAAGTCGGTTTGATAGATGTTATAGTCATCTGTACGTCTTTTAAATTCAGAGGAATGGTAATACCATTTCCGAATTTCTTGGAAGGAGAGGAAAAGATACGGATGGTGAAGTAGTAAATGAGGAGGCAAAGTAGGAATTCACTTAATCATATAGTTGGACTATATCATCAGTTGCTGTACAGTCGTTTAAAAGTAGGCTTGAAAATTCGCAGTCTTTTCGGATTTTTCTCCTGAGTAGTTGCATCAAAGCACGAGTTTTCTCTGTATTCGTGATGGCTCGGGTTTCCTTGGCAATTCTGGACTGTTGAGTTTGGTGTTCAGCTTCGAGTAAGGTTTCGTGTATTTAAATGATTATGCCGATGTCTTTGTTTTTGCAGTGCAGTGATCTCAATTTCTTAAGCTTGGAAGCGACCTTGGATGAGCTATTGCACTGGCCGTCAAAGGGGTCAGCGTTTAGGTTCGTCGTGGGCGCTAGAATGTTCGTACATGTGATGATATTTTTCGATTAAAAGAAATAAAAGTGTCCGTAGGGTGACAATAAGAAAGAATTACTTACATGAGTAATTCCCCCAAAACGGCCGGTTCCAATTCCGCATTCCGAGCAAATCATTTCCCCCGTCGCTTCATCTTCGCGCAGTTGATCACTTTCGCACTCGAGACAACGCATCATCTGTAAAATGTGTAAAAGAATTTTAAATGAGGAACAAATGTTCGACTTCATTAATAAATGAGGACCCCTGAACCGACGTGTGGTGGATCTCACACTGCAGTAAAAACGAAAAATCATAGAGGAGCTGGAAGACAGGTAGGTAGTTAGGCATCAGCAGTACGCCGGTACGCAGTACAGACACTTCGCTGCCGCGCAAGCACCACCGGTCGCACGTGGGCTAAGGATACTGCGAGAGTCGCTCTGCCCATACGCAGGCTCGAACCCGCGCCATCAGAGTAGAAAACAAGCTTGGTGTCTTTAGGCTACGGAGCTGGAAGAAAAATTAGCAAATGTTATATGTTACCGATGTGAGAGTAAGGAGTGAGAAACGAGAGCGGATGCAAAATCGCCACCGACTTAGTGATTGGGTACTATCCGATAGATGTTTTAGTTGTCGTTGAGTCTGATACCAAGAAAAAAACGACAAGGGTCGGCCCAGCCAAGCCTTTCGGTAAGTTGTTGTATACGCTTTGATCTAACAGCGAACGTCCATTTCGGAGTTTCATGAAAGTATTTCCCTAGAGTAATGATGCTTCCCCAGTCGCCACAACCCTCAGAGAAACAGGTAACACGCGTGTAATACTGGCTAGAGCTCTGCATACAGTAAATTTTCCGGTAAGCTACGAGAACGCAAAAATCGTTCGTCGCTATTACTGCCTGAAGTGAAGTAGACTCCGGACGATCCCTATTTGAAACTTCCGTCTTGAGTTATAATCCCAAACTTCGCCCAGATACTGCTGACATCAAGGCTGCAACGAAATCCCAAATCTTGAGTGCAGGGAAGGGCCATATGTCAATCGGCGAGATCCAAGCAGTGAGCCATCCACAACTGGATACGCCGCCAATTAATTGAGACGCAGGTGACCATAGCCATCTTATTAACATTTAAATATGAGGTCCGCCATTTCAAAAAATCAAGCAGTAGATTTACCCTGTTTACCATAAATCATTGTGTAAAATACTAGCTGAGGTCCGGTTGATGTTCACCACCGACAATGGAGTCAAATATTCCGTGCCTGTCGGGTGACCCCAAAACAACCGCAATTGTCTTGGTCAGCGATGGCATAACATTACGCGATAAGGGTGAGGCCGCGCTGTTGGACATGTTCCAGGCAAACGGTCGATACGTGCAGTTTAGCCTCAAGATTCGTAAACAATCAGTAATTAGAGAGGATACTTCGTACAACTATGAAGTTATATATGAGGCAGAAGAGACATCATAATCCTGTAAAAGAGTATGCACCGATGAAAGCACTGGAAATCGAATTAACGAGTGTCTGGTTGCCAGCAACGTCACGAACCTGGTAGGAAAGCATGCTTCACCGACATTTTGTTTCTAGATGGGATAGTGCTTTGCCTCGATAGCTGGACCTTTGTATGTTTGCCGTATTGACATCGGCAAAACGTTTGGCCTTGGAAACCATCGACTCTTCTAAAAGAAATCAAGTTGCTTTGGGCTGCATGCTCGACTAGTGACCTAGTTGACGAAAAATTCGTGTGTAACTGAAATCTATTCAGGCCAAGACACTATTCATAGCAGAGCTGCATATGGTTTAGTATTAAGCCCACTGGTATTTCTAATACACGAAAATGATCAGACTCCTCCTCTTGAGGACGCTGGATATATACCAGCAGTAATCTAACAACGCTTTTGAACCCGATTAGTGTGGCGAAATGGATGCTTTATATTATACATATATGGGAACGTGTGGCTCGCTAGGGCTTGTGGTGGCGAGATCCGGACAGGTCCTGCACCCGTTGCTGCTATGGTTCCGCCATAGACTCATGTCTTAGACGTATCCTCATGGCGACTGGGTGGGAGTTGGGCTAGAACCTACTAGCTAAATGCTAGTGTGAGAAATTGGGACTGTACACTTTGTCCTATCGTCAGCTTGACGTACGGTATTCTACATCTAGGTATATTCCATGTAGTGAGGCCAATGGTCACTTGCGAACACCCTGTAACACATACAAACGCAGGTACAAGGTTGTGATACCAGAGATAAAACGAGTTCTCCCACCCTTATGTTTGCAACGGGTAGTGTTCAAGGTTGGGAACAGTTGGCTGGGACATATGGTGTAGACAAACACAGTGTATCAGTTCAAAAAACTGTTGGATATACAGTTCCCCAGTCATATCCCAGGAGCAGTATTCCAGATGGGGCCGTACGAACGTTGAGAACAACTTCACAAATATGTCGACAGTTAAGACCCCGAAAGAACGGCGTATTAACCACAACATTCTGAAAACCCTACTTGCGGCCTTCTTCAAGTTGTCACCAGAATGCAAAGAGGAGGAATGGATGGCGCCTAGGTCTACCTGGTTGGTGACAAGGGGGAGTTCGACCCCACAGAGTACGTAGCTCGAAGGGAGGAATTTGCTCTTATACGATGAACGGAACACTCAGCCTGATTTATGGGCAGTAGCCACAAAGTAAACCAGTCCCAGAGTCTGCCAAGTGCATGCTGTATGGCCTCAGAATCCCCAGGAACATTTACAACATTCCATACCTTAGGGTTATCAGCAAACAATAGGATGATACCCCGAGCTCTAAAGGGAGATCGTTTAGGTAGATGGAGAATATCATCGGTCCAAGGACCGAGCTCTGTGGGCACCGCTAAGGACCGCGTGCCTAAAGGATAAGCTGCGGCCCATACGTACACACTGCTCTCTTCCCTGCAAAAAACGCAGATACCAAGTGAAGGGCGCGGCCAGATACGCCGTAGGACCTCAGCTTATGTGATAGCCTCAAGTGGGGTACCTTATCAAATGCTTTCGAGAAGTCTACGAAAAACACATGCACTAAGTGGCCATTGTACATTGCCTTCACGAGCAACCAACAAATTCGTCAGAAGCGAAAACCCCTTCCGGAATCCATGTTGTGCACTAATGATTTGATTAAATCTATTCAGGTGACATTCCAACGAATCTCTCACCAGATTTCCAAGCAGTATGACCACGACGCTAGTCAGACTGACTGGCCTATAATTGGCTGACAGACTCCTGTCGCCATGTTTGAAGATAGGACAGATGACAGCCTCCTTCCATTCAGAAGGCAATGTACAGCTGTCAAGTGACTTCTGAAACACCATTGTCAGCGGTCCACTCAGTTCCACCGCCAACTCATGCAGAAGCTTCGGATGAATTGAATCAGGTCCAGCTGCTTTGGAAGGGTTCAGTTATTGCAACAGTTTAAGGCCTTGCGTTTCCACCACAGTAAGCTCAGCTAAATTAAAACCCTCAAGTACTTTGGGGACAAGTTCAACGCTAGCCAACGAGACCACACGTACAAAAACCCCTGCATACTGCTCCCCAAGTACACGAGCCTTATCTGAGTCCACATACGCACAAATGCCATCGGCCCGCATCAAAGTTGGGATTAACGAAGTTGAACCACAGCGTCTCTTAACATAAGCAAAGAACTTCTTCGGATTTTCCCAAGCTCCATCAGTCAATTCCTTTTCGTACAACAGCCCAGTTTTCCTTAATTGTTTACACCTATTTCTAGCCTCGCGGTATCTACCATAGGTGCTAGTTGATGGAGCTGCATGGTAGGTTCTCCAGCACCTAGAATGCTTCTAGAGCAGGTCCTTGCAAGTCTTATCTATCCACGGCGGCCGCGCTCGTGTCTCCTTTCTCCTCGCAAGCGGGATGTGGGGAATAGACACTTCCGTGAGATAAGATTTAAATTTATCCCAGGCCGCCCGAATCGGATCAACCACCGAGATTTCGTAACGCATCCCAGAAGCCTTGATATGCATTGCCTGATAGCTAGCATGCCATATGTTTGGAAATGGCTTAGCAATGCTCTGGTGACGTTTGGTCAGCGTACACATTAACGATAAACATAACATGAGCACTGACACCTAAGGGAGAGCTGCAAGTGATGTCACCTACGAAGTCTAGGGACTTGGCAAACACTAGATCCAAAATAGACGGCAGTTGGGCGTCCATATACCTAGTGGGGAGGTCCACGAACTGATGCAACGGTACTTGTAGCATAAGCTCAAGTAGATCTGCACCGAAAGTACCTTCCGCCGAGTTGCAAGAAAGATCCGCCCAGCAAACTTCTGGTAGATTGAAATCCCCCAGTATCAAACAGCTGTTTGCGGATTGGGAGCGAATAAAGTCTAACACCTCTTTGGACGCACTCCCAGGGCTTCTATACACAAGTGCAACTGTAAGTTGAGCTGAGGAAGTGCAAATCACTACCGACAGAGCTTCGACAGTTTTATCTGCCGACTGAAACATGTAAGCACGTGAAACGTCAAGCTCACACCTAACGTAAAGCGCAACGCCCGCAAATTGTCGGCCAACGAAGCGATCACATCTAAATAGTGCGTAGCCAAACAGATGTACTCCACCGTCTGTGATGTCCCGAGACAGCCACGTTTCAGTGAATGCAAGTATATCGGGATGAGACCCATCTACAAGCAGACCTATCTCGCACATTTTATTCCTTAGGCTCCGCACATTGCTTAGCACTCTCTGAAGGTACTCGTAATGTCCAGCCCTGGGTCGTGCGCTACCAGTACTGGCACTGGTAGGGCGGAAACAGACCGCCGGCTGACCACCCGAAAACCTACCAACCGGAGACCTTGTTCATCGGCCGCTCGCCTGGTTTTGAGGCCTTTAATGGCCTCCCTTAGCTTCAGCCTATCCACTAATGGGAGGTCTGGATGAACGCTAACATTAGTACCCTTCAATTTGAAGGCAAACCGCAACAGCGCGTTACGTTCCTCCGGGGTGGATAGGACTACCCGAAGTAAGCGCGGTCGAGGGTATGGGGTGTTAACTGGGACGTTACCTAATCTAGTCAGTTTTCTGACAGTAACACCGGGAAACCCAGGCGGAAGAAGCTGAGTTACGCACATCTTAAACCACTGTAGATCGTCCAATGTACGTTCGGCAGGAAGTGCGGCAGTGGATTCCACTGCGTTATGGAATATCACGCTGCTAT